TGTGTGTGTGTGTGTGTGTGTGTGTGTGTGTGTGTGTGTGTGTGTGTGTGTGTGTGTGTGTGTGTATGTGTATGTGTATGTGTGTGTATGTGTATGTGTGTGTGTGTATATGTGTGTGTATGTATGTATGTATGTATGTATGTATGTATGTATGAATGTATGTATGTATATGTATACGTGTGTGTATATGTATAATGTATGTATCTGTGTGTCTGTATGCAGGACATTTTTATCTAAGCATAAAATTTTGCGTCAGATCTTTTAGAAATTTCCAAATTTAAAATATTTTTCAGCAAGAAATATTTACTTTAGGTATGCATCATACGTTTCATCTGCACGCTTTTATCGATTTCTAGAAAAAACTAAAAAACGTTTCCTGTTTAAGACGTTATTGTTGTTCGTTAAAAACTGTTCCACGTGAACATTAAATTTACGTGGGCAGTATTTAGTCTGTACAGTATATAATGATGTATTTCATATAATACTTACGTAAATATTTCGAAAGTTATTTGACTTGACAATAGAGATTAGTTATTAAATAAAGATGATAGTAATGCTTACGTAACATACACTGTATGATGTGAAATAATAATGTAACATAAAAGTGACAAAGTGGAGTGATGGATAATCACCTTTAATAGTATTAGGTGAAAACATTCAATAAGCAATCGATAACAAAACTACTCGATTATTCGTTGTCACATTCTCTTTTTCTTTTTTTAAGAAGCAAACTTGATTTGAGCAGCAGGCTTTGATGATTCCCGCATATCTTGTCTATCGACATTATCAGAAGAGAAGAGCACCGGTAACAATGGAAGCTTTGGACGATATGACTATTCATTCTTCATTCATCACACGTGTCAGTAACAATTCCATTACGTTTTATATATGAATGTAACAGTTTCCTCATTTAATCGTCGTTTTCTGCCTCGCTTCAGTAAGCCAGTTTCATGCAGGACTGACTGAGGATTGCATTTCGTCGTCAAAAAGTAACTAATCTGTTTTACGAAATGTTTTTACGTTAACAAATACAGTTGAGGCGACTGACGTAGTATTGTTGACGTGTATTGTTTTAAAAAAGTGAATAACATAGTGGGGTGACGTTGCAGTTTTTTCATAGATGCCTTGATTTCTTTATCCATGTGCGGTTTTTAAAACACCCTTCCAGTGAAGAAAGGATAATATTGACTAGTCTCTTTTTTTTTGAAAATAAATCTGGTCATAAATTGTACACCTTCAGGAGGCTTTTACGCTTCAAGGAGTTGCAGCAAAACGAGTTATAGAAGGTGAAGAGACAGAAGATTGTTATATCAGTGGGAAATTATCGTTAATTGAGAAAGTTTGTACAGTTTGTCTCGCATTCATTTGATTGTTGCTTTCCGAACTGAAAGTTATTTTTATCAATACATATAGAGTTTCCAAAAACTCAGAAATTCAAGAATTTTGGTTTCTGGATTTTCATTCCCAAAAATCCATTATTTGCAGCCTTGTGGTGTGATGATTGAGTGGATTCCTATGGAGGAAGATGGTTGGGTTCTTGCAGCAGAAGATGACAGTGAAAATCTTTCAACATCGTCAGATAGTGGCGAATCACGTCGAGATTATATAAATAAACTAAAATTTTCGGTTGATATTAAAGATTTGCGATCATTCCAGTGCGTTGAGCCAAAGAAAGGTGACTTTTCTTTTTTCAAAGTGTGTCAGTTCTGCTTTTAGGCCAAACTTCTTAAAGTTGAAAATATTTTATTTAACTTTTTCCCTTATCTGTGCTATCAGTAAGATGTCGATTGTCACTTGATGAAAAGTCCTGGTTTATATCTAATTCCTATAAATTACTGTATTTATTGCAGTGTATTAGGAAGTTTTTTCAACACAACTTTTTTTGGATCGACAATAGAGCAGTTGATAGAAAATTAAAATTTTTTATGATCTACTCAAGTAAGTTTGCCCTTGCTTTCTTATACAGTGTGACTAATTTTTGAAGGATATCCTTGGGTACGCTTTATTGGCAAGGATGGTTCGGGCTATACACCACTGTATTTTCGTCAAGGTGGAATATCTTCTTTTACTGATAACTTGCAAAGGTAACACTTTCTTAATCATTTATAGCTTCCACACATTCATTTTCTTTTCCATAATTTTCAGATATGCCACACTGAAGCGTTCAGCTCGAGAAGCGAATTTGGTACTATTCACAGATGAGCGCCTTGAAGCTTTGGAACAGTCCGTCTCGATTTTGGACTTAAACAGCGACTTCTTTTCTGTAATTTCATATTTTATAACCTTATCACCTTTAGTATTATGAACGAATAACATTCTGAGCTCAAGCATCTCTACACCTAGCTTCTTGTTATAGCGTATGATGGCACAACCGTATGCAACAGCAATGACAGGACTTGGAAAAGTAGCAACATTTGTTCAGGAACAGGTGCATTTAGAAGTGATTTTCCACTGTGTTAAATATATTTTATATCAAAAAAGCTTCCTTATATCCTTCTAATTAGTTTGATTTCCTGAAATATTGTTCTTGTCTTGCTTTTTTCTTGCTATTCATAACCACTCTTAAATTAAGAGTGGTTATGATTCTCTTATGTGGTAATCATTTGAGTTATGGACATATATTGCAAACTACAAGCGCAACTAAATGGAAATTATAATGATAAGACAAGAAAATCTCGTTTAAATCATAATTTTGATTTCCATGGTGAGTTATCTATTTTAAAGGTTATACCTTCTATACTGGAATCAGATGCAGTGAGCGCAGAAGAAAAAATCAGAGCAATGAGGGAGTTGAAAGAAAAAGAAGATGAAGCAGCAGGCATTTTAAGGTATGTCTGTTTTTTTTTTATGTTTTTTTTTTCATTTTAAAGTACGTATTTTTTTCACAAAATATGTTCGTTTTTTCATTTATGTTTGAAACTTCATTTTAAATTCATTGATTTTGCAGGTCGCATGATGATGTGGAGTTTGAACTTATTACACATTTAGAATTACCACAACGTCCAGAATTCACAAGGGAACAACCACTCACTGAAGCACTCTGGCAAAAGTATAAGTAAGCAAAACTCGCATGATTCGTTCCCCAAAAGCTGCTTTTATTTCTGAATCTTCGACTTTTATTGAAAATGAAGATATTTAGAATACCTGACGGCTCGATCAAAGATATCCATTCATTAAAAGTATTGATCTTTCGTGGTGGTTTGGACCCGTCATTAAGGAAGGAAGCATGGAAGTATCTTCTAGGTGTATATGACTGGAAGAAATCCTCTGCTGAAAATGAGGCTGTAATAATTAAAGTTTCTTGTTCTTGACTTATTCATTATTGAACCAATTTTTTGCATTTTTATTCAATTTCTGGGATTTGCAAGAAAAATTCGTTAATTTTCAATAAATCCTTCCCATTTCTTTTCCGTTTATAAAACTATTTTTAAGATACACAAAATGCTTTCCGAGGATTACTATCGTATGAAGCTACAATGGAAAACGATAAGCAAAGATCAAGAAAGTAGATTTAGTGAATTTGCTGCTCGAAAGGCTTTAATTGGTACCTTATGAACCAATTCATCATAAATTGCATCGTTAGGTTAGCTTTTAAATTTTCATCCTTTCAGCTTGACCTTTTACATTATTTTCAGATAAGGATGTGTCACGAACAGATCGTACGCATGCTTTCTTTGGCGGTTGTGACAATGGTAATCTCATACTTCTCAATGACATTTTGATGACGTACTGTATGTACAACTTTGACCTCGGTTAGTCTATCTTAGCGCATATTTCTATATTTATGCTTTTCCTTCCACTATTGATCCTTTCAAAAAAAAACGAAAACGTAGTCATTGTTCTCTCCGACTCCAGGGATTCCACGAAATTTATAAAGAAAAAGCTGTAAGGG